GCACACCAGGAGGAATGACCGTGGTGGAAGCGAGGATTCTCACCTTCCAGGGTAGTGAAGCAGCTGAAGCAACGAACGCGCCTGTTTCAGGTGGGCGGCCACCGGATGAGGAGGGTCAGGTGGAGCCCATCATGGACGGGCAGCCATCATCTCTTCTGAAGGCAAGCGAGACACAGGCCCAGCAACACCTTCTGCCCACGGTCCTGCCTCCAGAGCAGCCTCTTCTTGCTCCTGGCTGTGCCATGGTGGACCATGGAGCCTCCCTCCATGCCCCAGCTGAGCACAGCTCCTTAGACTCCTCTCTCCAAAACAGGCCGGCTCCTCCTGACTCCAGCACCACTGAGCTTTCTGCTACGGACCAGGCAGCGTGGCAGCCAAATCCCGCTGCCCTGCCAGCAGGAGAACAGGACCAGGCAGTGTGGCAGCCAAATCCCACTGCCCTGCCAGCAGGAGAACAGGCATCTTCCCTGAGCAGAGACAGAGTGCTCGAAGCAACCCCTCATCCTCTGCCAGCCAGCTGCCAGCAGCTCTCCCAAACATCACAGAGAGATGGCTCCCCCGAGAGCGAGCGCGGGGAGGAGGCGGCAGATGACAGGCACTGCAGGGCGGTGCTGCCGGACAAAATGGGCCTGAAGTGCTCGGCATCCAAAGCTGCATCCACAGGAGAGCTCCTCAGCCTGCAGCACAATGGGCTGGGCAGTGCCACCAGCACCACGCGCTGGCCCGAGGCCGTGCTGCCCGCGCACAGGCAGGCAGGGGGCAGTGTGCCCATCTTGTCCAGCAGAGAGCCGGCGGCAGCAGGGCTGGCCGAGGGCTGCCCCACCCAGCGGGCACCGTCCCCTGTGGTGGAAGGGAACAGCCCCTATGTGGTTATCAAAACCACCACTCCCCTCCACCTGGCCCATGCGACAGAGCAGGACTTCTTGAACAGAAAGCAGGTGGCATTGCCATTGTCAGAGACTGGACATCCTCTGCCTACCACCTCCATGCCACCACCTCTTATGCTGGACCCAGAGGAGGTAGAGGTCCAGAAAAGCCTCCAGAAACCATTAAATGCACTGAAAGCCCCACGACCCCCATTGAGCCCCAAACCAAAATTACCGCCACAGGTTGCCAAATCCCGCTCAGAGAACAGTTTCCTTTCAGGCTCTCCTTCCCTGGCAAAGCTGCCCAAATCGGTGACGTTTTAGTGGGGATGGGGAAGGGGAAGTTAAGGGAGAAGAAGTGGGTTCTGGAGAAGCACAGATCCTGCCCCATTTACAGGATCCCCTTCTGTCAGCAGGGCTGTCAGGGTGACAGCACAGCACTATTGCACATCTCGCTGTGCTTTGGTACGAGTGCCCAGTGAGGAGATGAAGCGGTGGCCACCAGCGCTAGGAGACACCAGCAGATTGGATTTGCATGTTTCCTATGGACAGATTGGAAAATGCTTTCATTTTTTGCTCCTCAAAGTTCCCCAAGTCTCATCACTTGGGGGAAGAGGCAGGGCTGGTGAGTTTGTTGCGTGTTTTCTCCTGCTCCTGTCTACTGTGGGAACCCACGACCAAGCAAGCAGGCACAAGGTGTCAGAATCCGAAACGCTTTCTTTACAATGCCCCATCGACGCAGCTACAGCATTGCTTTCAAAGGCCTTTGTAGCAATAGATCTTTATTTCATTTCCCAGACCTGCAGTTGTAGGCAGCAGAATTTCCAGGCAGTGCCATGGCATCCTGGCAGGACACAGGCAGCCCGCTGCCCCCTCTATGCAATTCCACAAAGCAGTGCCCAGCTGTATCTGGCTCCTGCTGCTGTGGTGGATGGTGTTTAGGAGGACAGATTTAACAGCTGCTGAGTCCCTTGGACATCTCCTTGGTGTCACCCCGGTGGGGGGCTGCCAGCATAGTGGTCCTTTCCCAGGTTCTCAGGGTGACAAGGACAGTGATGAAGGTGGAGCCTGGTCTCTTGGGCTGAGTGCCCTTTCTGTTGGCCTTTCCTTCCCAGGGCCAGCACAGCGAGCAGGCTCGCTGCCTTTCTGTTCCCCAGACAGGAGAAGGGGCTGCTGGCTCAGGAAACCCGCCTGCACTACCAAGCTGCTGGATGCGTGATGGCATCTAATCACAGTGCCCCAGATAAGTCCACTTTTGCTTTGAGTAAGTTAAGTGTCAGAGTGGAAAGAGCATGGGAATTGGGGAAGGGAGAGCACATTGCCCTGAACCTGACCTTAGTCCTTGTGGTTGAGCCCACAGAGAATTAACAACAGGAAGGAAACTTGGACATGATGGGTGCCCACGTGCCCACTTGCCCTTCATGCACCAAGTCCTAGAGGTCTGTCCATCTCCTCCCCATCCCAAGGTGCAGCTGCTGCACAGCCCAGGCCATTGGCTGGAGATGTGTAGGGATCTGGGGAGACACCTCATAGAAAGAGCTAGTCCAAAATTCTGATTCCAGTATCTACTTCACCCTTAGAAGGAACTTCATCAGGAAAGCAGATCAGTGAAAAAGCAGGAAGTAGTCCAGATATGCTGGATTTGACTTTGCTGTCCAGAAGGGGTAGCTGCAAGTGCAGCCTTAGGTGGGACTGCAAGTGGGATTCCTATTCCTTCAACAGAGATCCTGGGCAAAAGCTCCTTTAAGTTCTAAGGAGACTTTGAAAACTAATTTTTTTTTTATATCTCAAAGGCTGCTTCAATTGCATAACCTGATCTAAAGCCTACCTGAAAGCCCAGCAGAAAACTTCCACTAAATTACTTTGTGGGTTCCAGGAGCTGGACTTGATGATGCTGGTGGATGCCTTCCAGCTCAGCATATTCTATGGTTCTATGATTTATCAGGGTTTATTTTGCCTTTGTGTACGTGTGGTGGTTTATGTTTGCAGCAGGGAGTGTCAAAGGGAGCACTGGATTTTTGTTTGGATGTAGCCAGCCAGACCACAGCACCCTCAGCTTTCATTGGAACCCCAGCTCTGTCCCAGACCCCATCTTCTTCCACCGAGCCTCCAACCTTGCCCATCCTCTTCCTCTGCAGAGCAGGGAAAACCCTATTAGCTACCTCGCAGGGGTGTTGTGAGGAGTCAAGCATTGCTGTTTGAGGAAAAGTGCTCTTTGAATGTTCAGTATTTGTGTTTTGAGACACCACAGGTCCTTTCTAGGACAATGGTGCTTGAATTGTTTTTAATTTAGAGTATGTTTTTCCATAACTGTGCATAGTTAAATGTTAATTGTGTGTTAAAATACCTGAGCAGTATTTCAGGACAGATATCCATTGCCTTTTGCTAGCAGCCCACTGGCCACAGGAGCTTACTGGGAAGCAACAAGGAGCATCTGAGAGCTGTTGGTCACATCTTGACTTGGCTTCTGTAGCTTGGGGCTCTGTCCTCTCCTTGAAGCCCACACAGGACTCTTTCTAATACATCTGAGCATCACGCATGCAAGAGCTGATACCTCTTTCCCCTTGTTTTAACCCGTTTTCCCTCATTTCAGGCACACAGCCTTTGCACATCATGTTGCTTGTGCACCCAGACTCCTCACACAGGGTGTCTGGGATGTTTTGCAGTATTAACATTTTAAAAGGTGGTTTGCTCTAATTTTGGAGAGCTGTCAAATGTACAGTACTCATTGCATGGCATTTGCTGCATGATGTTCAACATGAATTTTGATGGGGAAAGGGGTGGGAGTTGTCTTTCTCTCCAAGCCCTAATGGGAATGAGCAGCAAAGTCCTCAGTCATCTTCAGGCCTGGGGTAACCACCAGCAACATGCATTGCTGTCCTTGGTGTGATACTCTCATTGGAACACATCAATGCATGATCCCCAAGGAGATGGCCACTCCTGTTTCCTCTTGCTGCAACAAAGCTGCAGCCATGGTGGGTCTGCAGCAGCAAGGCCTGGCCCAGCCTCAGCTCTTTTGCTGGGAATAGGAAGGGAAGGAGCAGGATGAGGGTGGCAGCTCAGCAGGACAAACTGCCTAACCAAGCCACTTGCCGCCCTGCCCAGCCCCCTGCAACAGTCTTGACCCCTCAGCAGAAACCACTCTTACTGTGAGCAAACATGGGAAAGGAGCTCCCCCCATCCTTGCCCTTGCAGCCCTGACACAATGGTGGCCTTGCTGCCTTCCATGCAGAGGGAAAGACCAATGCTGTGGGTTTGGGTTTTTTAGGTGTAGTTTGTTTTTCCTTGTGTTGTTTGTTTGTGATAGAGCACTTTGAGTGGCTGCAGCCTGGCAGACAGCAGGAGCCACAGGACCCAGCTCCAGCAGGGGCCAGAGGTTGAGGCTAGGGGTTTCTTGGCCATGCACTTTGAGAGCCTGGCTACCGTCTGCTTTCCTTTTTATTTGCTCTTGTTTACAGCGTGGAACGCTTCTTTCATGACTCTTTCTAATGTATTATAATTATTACTTTTAAGAAAAAAAAACGTTTTTATGTCTGCTTTTTTGTTTGTTCAGTTTGGTTTTTTTAAAGGAAGGGTTTTTTTGGAAAAAAAAAAGTCAATCATTCCTTTTTATGCTGATCCAAACTGTCCGGAGTGTTTGATGCTGTGTTTTACATGGTTGTAGTAATAACGGTTAAAGAAATTTAGCACAAATTCAGACTCCACAAGGTTTCTTACAGGAACAGAAGCTGCACCAAGACTGGTTGTCTTCTCCTGATGACTTTTAGCTTGGTTCACTGTGTATGCTTCAGCTGCAACAGGTCCATCCTGCTCCATCTCTGCTTTCCTCCCCGATTTTCTATTGTAATTAAATCCAGGCATCCCTGGCAGCAGTGGAAAGCAAAATGCTCTTTTCTACTTACCACCATCCTCTCCCAGCTGAGCAAAGGGCAGTATCCCTTCTCACACACAGCTGCTGATCAGCAGCACTGCTGAAGCTTGTGTTTTGGCCAAGATTTTGTGTTTGGAGTTTGTTTTCCTGCCTGTAGGCAGTGTAGGGAGGCTGGATGGGAGGGGCAGCGGGTGGACACAGCTCCTGGCACAGCAGGTGGGTGGGTGGGTGCGACTCACACTCGTGAGTCAGGGCTGAGCTGAGTCACGTTTACAGCAGCCACCGGGAGTGTGAGGTGGTGCTGCTGACAGCTGAGGATGCATTTTAAAAAGCTGTGCGTGAGCAGTACCTCTGACACACCCCAGATTTCATAGCCAGGGCTTCCTGGGCTTAGATGACAATGGTACTGCTGCCTTTGAGGTGTTAAATGTGAACAGTGAGCAGTGTTCTGGCTCCCCTGAGAGAAAGCTGCCTCTTAGTGTTAAGCAGCATATTTATGGTAAACACAGGTCTGTCTCTGCCAGAGTAGCACAGAGGGCACAAAGACTGACAGCAGATGGAGAGGTCAGAAGTATCTAAATGGCACCCTAGGATTTAAGAGCAGTGCCTGAAATTGGCATCCCCATGTGTCTATCACCCACTGAGTGCTGTAGGCTGGGTTTCCTGCTTCTGTTACTGCCCTGCCACACATAAGAGGTCAAACAGGAACAAAAAATTGTTCTCCAATGCCATTAAATTAGCTCATTTATATTAATAGGTTAAAAGCTGGTCTGAAACACCACAGAAAAATAAAAAGAAAGCCCCAGCACCACTGAACACCACAGTGTTTACTGTCACAGAAGCAGCATGAGGATGCAGCTCTTGGCACATCTCCTGTGCCATTTCACTGGATGCCAGCATGGGGACTGCAGCACTGTGACCAAGGGTGAGATCCCCAGGCTGGAGTGAAGCAAACCTCATCCCTCTTGTGTTCCAGGTGCTCACAAACAGCCTCATTGCAGAAGATGCTTTGTGTCACCTCCCGGCCACCAGCTCCCGTGAACCTGTTGGCTGTCAGGCAGTGCCAGCTGGGACCAGGTTTGAATTTCTGCCACGGTTACTTACGTGACAGGCAGTGCAGGGTTTAGAAATGGCATTTATCCAACTGCTAAAACAGCATCCCTGTCAAGGAGAGAGCAGAAATGTCCAGAAGGGCAGCTTCCCCAAGGGAAGGTGAGTTGTGCTAGGTTTGAGGGTTGTGTTCCTCCATTAAACAGCCTTGGTTCACTTGGTTGTTGAAAAAAAATGGAGGAAGATATTGCTTATTGGTATCCTTGATCCCCAGGCTCCCTGCATTTACCCGGTTGTGACCTTGTGGCTGTGGTACTCTCACCCTGTCCCTGCAGGGACCAAGGCCAGGCATGGCTCCACCACCTCCTCTTACAGCATCCCTCCAGCTAGTGCAGGAGCCACAGAGGTACCCAGCCTTGAATTGGTGCTTGATAGGGCTCTCAGGTATGGTTTTGTGGTGCCAAGCACCCAGTGCAGAGAGTCCTTCCCCTCCTGTGCCCCCGAGGGCCTGACTGCTGCTGGCAGGGGCCGAAGCTTAGGACAATCCCAAAGCCCAAGGTTACAGATACCCACTTGGTGGGGACAGCATTGGGACCAGCAGCAAATGAGTGTCATAGATGGTGTTGAGGCTACTGCTTAAATCCTAGTGGTCTTATCAGCCAGGGACTGGTCCCCCCACTGCCTCTTCCTCTGCACTTGGTATTTGCCAGTATTATCATCCCCCTTTTCCTAGTAGAGCCACTGCTGTCCTCACAGCAGCTCTCCAGCTCCCAGGGCTGGTCCCCAAGGCAGAACTGCAAACTCCCCAAGCTGCGCTCAGCTTTGGTGCCCTGGCAGCCCCCTGTGGCTCCTGTCCTTCCTGGCTCAGGAACAGCCAAACCAGCAGGCCCAGGAGCTGAGACAAGCCAGGAGAGCAGGTCTGTCCTCGCTGCTTGCTGCCTCTCAGCCAAGCCCTGGCTGTGCTCATCACCATCCCTGCCCACCTCCCACGACTTGGAAAGCTCCTCAACTGCTGCATGCCTCCACAAGGCTTCAGCCACTTGGCACTGAATAATTGATAGTAAGTGGAGCCTGGAGCAGAGAAGTTGAGGGAGGGAGCAAGGCTTTGTGCTGCTTTAGGAGGCTCTGCTCCCAGATATAGCAGGGGGAGAGCGATGGGTGTGCTGTGTCTGGCAGCTTTGTGCCCCATCCAGTTTGGCAGAGGCAGCTGGAGCTTGGCTGGGCCTGGGAGCATTCCTCTTCTTGGCTTGCTGTGCTGCTCACCTGCTGCTCACGTGCTGCTGTGTCCTACTGCTATGGTGGTGCTGCTGTGCTGTCATCTGTCACCTGCTGCTGTGGCACCTGGGGGAGCTGCACGCTGCTGTCATGCTGCTCTCATGCTCCTTGTGTGCTGCAGAGGGGCCATGGCAGTAGTGGATGGGACTTGGGAAGCAGAGCAAGGGCAGACCCAGCAGCCCTTGCTAGGGCTGGTACCATGGCTCTCCTAAGCTACACACCCTGTACTCAACCCGTAGCAAGAGCAAAGCAGTTGCACATGGGGCCAAGCCCATCTGCCTCTTCCCCTTCCCACCAGTTGCTGGTGGCCAGGATGGTGGCTGTCACACCATCCTCTGAGCAATGTCACCCCCTTCCTACAGCGCATCCCCAAGTATAAAGCAGCGTATGGAGAAAATAACAGCCTGGCAGTTTAAAGAGGCAGGTCTGACCGCTTCCCAAACCATCTCCCAAATCCTACTGTCTCAGAGGCTGAGGAGGCCCACAGGGCACACACCAGCATCCTCTTCACCTAGAAGGATGTGGACACCAGGAGACAATCAACCCACAGCTGAAACATCTCACCAGGAGATGCAGCAGGTGGACCCATCCCACAGGCATCCTTACTCAATGGCAGCAGTTACAAAAGAGCCCAAGATGGGGATGCAGAAGGCTTAGAAGGCACACACAAAGACATGAGTCCAAGGGATTGGAGTCACTAAAGCCTGGCTATTCTTCCACATAGTAAAACAGGCTCCTCCTAAGACACAGAGAAAAGTAAACTAAGAAACTTCCAATTTTGTCCAAAATTGGTATGAGCTCCCTTAGAGGTACCTGTGGCTACATGGGATGCAATATCACAAGACCCCCTTCCAGCCATCCCATTAAGAACCTGGGCCACTCTGGTGCCCTGGAGGCCACTCAGCCTGGCCTCACATCAGAGACCTGATGTTCCTGCTCCTGGAACATCTAAGCCTACAGACTTGGGGAAGCTGTTTCCTGAGTGGCTTTGCTTACCTTTATGGTGAAGGCAAGAAGTGATACAGAAGTACTGCTTAGGCTGGAAAGGTTTGCAGCAGTAGCTGTAGAGTCCGGAAGGGAAACCTGGTCTGCTCCTCTACCCAACCACACTGAGGCCAGCATTTTGCCAAAGCTGCTCTGTAATACTCAGCCTTTCATTCAGCTGCCCCCACCACCACCCTCACATCTCAGGTCTCACTCCAGCACTGAGTCATTGCTGCCAGCTCCTGCACAACGCAGGTCTTTGCCAAAGCCCTCGGCAAGCACCATGCACTCACCTGCTTTGGAGTCACCCTCTGTGCTGGCTTAGGAGAATGCTCCTGTGGAAGCCCTCACAGACCAAAAGGCGTGAGATCTGTTCCAGCACTTGATCAGCATCTTTAAGGACTTGGAAGCAATTGTGGCAGTTGACTCAGCTGTGATGTCTCTGGAGCCCCAACCCCTCTGTAAAGAGGGTGTGGGGCACTTGAATGATGTGAGAGAAGAACATGTATTATACGCCTGTCCTGAGACATCTGGACCTGACCAGACTAGAACAGACCTCGTCAGCTATTCTGTAATTTAAGTACGGGTTCAAAGGTGGCACTCCTCCATCATGGGATATGCAGTCTCAATATAATCAGTAGGAGGCTGACTGAAGCCTTCTCAGAGCTGTTTTTCACACTGGCTGGAGATCCACAGCACAAGTTTAGTTCAGCTATGCCATGACCAGCTGAAGAGATCACAACAGCCAGAGATGAGCTGATGTACTCAGAGCAAAAAGCTCACCTCTGTGGACTCTTTTCCAGCTTCAACTGTGCAACAGGAATAATCAAAACACATTCTGCTCGCCTGAGCTCATGCCTCTGAAGCAGAACTGAGGTGCACAACAGACTCCTTATCATAAGGGAAACAACTGCAGTGTCTGAAAACTTCATCTTCCTGTCCAGGTACTTCTACAACAAAAGTGCCTTGAGTAACTATGGGGAAAATCAACTCCAAACCCCTCCAATTCTTCTCCAAACCTACACTCACTCCAGTGAAACTGTAATCCTGGTATTACTTTCAGACTCAAGAAGTTCAGCTAGCACATCAGAATACACTGTGAGCTCATGTACCAACCTCCTGCCTGTCAGGGGCCAGCAAGATGATGTCCTGTCCCCAGATCATCAGCACCAAAATAGCAAGTGAAAAAGCCAAGTCAAGAGTTAACAACTCCACCTGAGAGAAGTGATACAATCTGGTTTTTGCCAACAGAAAGATCAGACCAGATCACAGCTGATGTATCTTGATCTGTTGTGATTTTCCTCCTGGAACAAAGATGCAGTACGACGATACACAATTAATACGTGGTTTTTGGAGAAGATCTGTGGTGTCAAGCTTTTAGCACCTCCTTTTGCTCTTAACCTACCTCCAGCTTTTAGCAGGGACTTGAACAATGACCTGAGTCTGGATTTCTTGTGACACAATTACAGCAAAAAACTAACCAGCTCCTGTGATGGTCTGTTACTGACCAGGATTGTCTGACAAGCTTGAAAATCTTACCCGGAGTGCAAAAGCTCTCTGAAAGGGAGATGCTCTTACTTCAGCTTCCTGCTCCTCACCAAACTCTTCTAAGTAGTTTGTATTCTGGCCAGTGCTGTTCTAGCACATCCTCACCAAGATGCACCAGTTTCTTGGAACTGCACCTATTGCCTGCCCTGTGAAGACACCTTGGCCCTGGCACTCCCTGGAGCTCCTCAGATTCCTTGACCGCAGCTCCCAGTACTTGACTGTGGCATTTGTCTCCCAGCCAGAAATGAGAGGAGACTCTAAGTGGTTAGAGCCACCCAGTCCTTGAGATAGCACCAGAGTGTTACTTCTCCTCTGAAGGCCTCCAGATAGATCTATCCTATCCTTCATTGGGGAAGAAAGGGCTAAGTCCTACTGCAGATGAAGAGCACCAGGTTCTAGTGCAGTAACACTACCAAGCAAGGGTTCCCGTGTCATCTTCTAGAAGGACAAAGTACTGCTGTCCTGTGGCCAGTTGTGCACAAGATGCCAACTTTAGGAACAACCCCCATTCCTCCAGTCTTCACACTTGAAACAGAGTGGGAGGTTTTCTGGGAGTCTCTGTTCAGTCCCACCGTGTAACACTAGCTTCAGCATCTTCAGCAATCCTCCAGCACAGGGACAGACTGCTGTAAACAGCACACCCAGCTAAAGGCAGGGCACTCTCCCCTCAGGCAACTTCTCCCACTCCAGGAGCTGGTATCAGCCCTTCTGCAGGAACAGGGTGCCAGGCAGCTGCAGCCAAGGTGGGGGCTGTGCCCTACAGCAGTTCACAGCAGGCATTTACAGAAGGCAATACATTAGCACAAGTCCTCTCTTGCCCAGGCCAAAAGCAAAGACAGTACCCCCAAGGAGCATGGGAGTAGAATTCTGTTGCTTTAATTCTGCTGCTGCCTGGCATGATGGAGGATGGGGAGTGGGATGGGAGGTTGCTTGCAAGGATGCTGGGAAGCCCTGGGTGGGCTGTGGCTTTGTGCTGGGGGTGACCAGGGTTTCTTTACTGGTTTTGCCATGTGAGGCATGTGACTTACACACCAACCTCGCTGCTCCCAACCCAGACCAACCTTGGCCGCCAAACCCAGCACGTCTTCAGGCCTGGGCTAGCCCATGCAGAACAGCTCCCTGCCGCACTCAGCTGGATCGCTTTCCCCCTTTGATGCTTCTAATTCTGGATGCCAGGTAAATTAGCCTGTGCAATAGCTTGGAACAGGGAAAGCTATCCACTGCACTGAATGCAATGCCTTGTCTTGAGGCTGCAAGTAAAAGGCACGTAGGTCAGACCTCAGACAAAAACCCCAAAGGAGCAGAGCTGAGCAAAGGCAGGGTTCCCAACAGATTAGCCCTAATCCAAAACACTCTTACCCACTTGAAACCCAGGGACTGGAAGCTTGAATCCTTTAGTCTTAGTTGCTGAGCAGCCAGACAGCTTCTGCAGTGCAGCTCACCAGTCAGGAAGCTGTGCACAGGGCAGACAAGGATTTGCTTACCTGTACATACTGGAGCAGCCCAAGATGTATGTGCTATACAGGTGTTAGCATAGCTAGGTCTGGAAGGGACCAAAAAGTCCCAATTCTACCTCTAGAGCGTAACACATGAGGGAGGTCTTGTGCCAGAAAGAGCTGACAGGAAAGGAATCAGGGAAGCAACAAACTGGTACCAGCTGAGGCGAAAGCAGCTCTCAAATCTCCTCGCTGATGCTTCTTCCCTTCCAGGCATTGTATCTGAGGCCATAAATCCCACAAGGACTAGGCTGAAAGCAAAGCACTCAAGAGGTGCCAAGGACAGGCTTGGACTGGTTGCACTCTTCCACCCTCCCAAAACTTGGGGCCAGCAGAGTTCCAGGTGGGCTGGGGAGGACATGACAAAGACTTGCTGGAGACAGAGACAAGCTGTCTTGCCGTGAGAGCTTGTCTCTCCCACCCTCTACAGCATGACCTTGTGGTCTGTGGAGAGAAAATCTCAGCACCCTTTCCTCCCCACCATCCCACCAGCGATCCTTCCAGAGCACCAGCCGCAGCAGCCTCTAGAAGGAGGACACAGCCATCAAGGTGATTTGTTGAGACGATCAAATAATAATTTACTGTGATTCAATCTGTGGCTTTGTACAGTTGCCGGGGTGGGAGGAGGCCAAAGGATGAGGGGATGGGGATAAAAAAAAAAAGAAGTTGTTTGCCACAGGCTTGGGTGAAGTGCGAGATAGTCCTTGGAGGGCCTCATGCTCCCCCTGTCCTCTTCGTCCTGCTCCTCTCCCCCCCCAATACTCCTCCTCTGAATCCGTTTGCTTCTTCCTTTGCTTCACCTCTTTCCTTGCACACTGCACAGTGGGAACCTTGCCAAGAAACGGTCCAGACAGCTGAAACAGAAGAGGACACTCATGAGCACCCATTCCCCATCAGAACAAGCAGGGCTGTTCCCAGTACTCACCCCTCACATTTTGGGATGACCCTGTTAGTGCCCACAGAGCAAAAAGGCTACACAGGTCTTAGAGGTCTGGGTCTGTCTCAGCAAAGCATCTGTACATCTGCTGAAGGGAACAAGTCTTGGAGTTGGTGGAGTGATGGGTGAGCTTTGGGCACCTCACCAGAGCTTCTGCCTCTTTCTGAACCTCCTTGTGGGAAGGGGCACTGTTTGGCAAGATCTTTCCACCTCCTCCAGGGATGATGGGAACCACAAAATGAGTCCAGGGCAAATGCAGCCAAATTTTGTTGGCCACAACAGCCACCCTTCTTCTCCCCAAATCCCAGCATGTCTTTGCCTCACTTCTCCTTTTGTGTCTTGATGTTCCTCCCCCTCTGCTCTTGGGCACTGCAGCTAGATTAAGCTGGGATGTCTGGTTTCCAGTTTCTGCCTGAGCAGAAAAAGACACAGGCAACTTGCAGGGCATGTTCTCTTAATAGAGAGGAGTGTTTCCAAGTGACCCTTTCCCAGCCCTTCTTGCCCAAGCTGGTGCTGCCACTGGGCTGTGCCAAGGATTGAGCTCCTGGCGGTCGGTGTAAGGAGTAGCAGTGCCTGCCAAGCCCATGCTGTCAGCTATGAGCCAGAGCAGGAAACAAGCCTTGAGCTCATATCCCCATCCGGAGGAAACGCTCCTGAACATCTGGAGGACACAAACATCTGGAAAATCTCCCTGAGCAGTGATAAATGTGCTGGGCACAGCATTCAGCTCGGCCCCCAGCCGACCTCACACGCCTCAGCTGGGAGGGAGGGGTGGGGCTCTGCGGTGGGTGTTTGCTCATAGGAAGCAAGCATTGCCAGCACTGTTTTGTTAGGTTTTTTTTTCTTGGGAGTGGGGGGCAGGAGGAAGAGCTCTGCTCTGCTCATGGCTTCTAGCTCAAAAAGCATCACAGGAAACCTGCTGTTCATCTCCACCTTCAGGAGACCCTCTTAACACCATCTCTGGATACAGCGCACTTCTCTTCAGGACTCCAGCAGTTATTTATAGGGTAAAGGGCCAGTCCAGGTGCTTGAGAGAATTCCCAAAAGACATTAAGGGCAATGTTCATGTATGCATTTGTTCCAGTCCCAAATGTCCTTAGATATTGATCTCCTTGGTGGACTCATCCCTAGTTACCCCTCTCTAACTTTCTGCCATGAAGGAGTTGGTTACACAGACAGATGTTCCCAGGCCTTTCACTTAAAGCCAGCCAGCACATGCAGGGACAATAATAGGAACTCTCCCTGACTGCTATCCAGCAGTGTTTTAAATAAACTCATAATTAAAAAAAAAAAAAATGAGGAAAGAAAAACAGGCAAGTGAACATAAACAATCTGAAAAATACTGTTTCTGGCTCCAGCACACACAATTTATAAAAGCAAACAGCCCCCTTATGGCTAATTCTCAACATTGCATCAGTTCCAAATAGCCCAGGGGATTTATCTAATGGGGAAAACTCTTCTGAAGAACACAGGACTTTTCACAGCGAGACAGGTCTGCTCTAAAGCTTTAGGATGAGGCAATTTATGTGAGTGCATTAGGAGGCAATGCACCCAGCCAGCTCTTCATCTGAACCCTTCTAGAGCCAGTCTGGTAAGCATGCAGTGATCTGTACACCTTCAACACCAGCTTAACTCCTCTTTCAGAACAGCAGCATGGGAAGAAGCTTTCCTGGGGAAAGCACAACAAATTATTATTTTTTAAAATATTCAGTTGTATAGAATTTTGTTGCATAAAATGAGGAGGAGAAATAAACAACGCTTTCCTGCCACATACTTCGTCAGGGAAGAGGGAATTTTGACTTACCTATGTTTTCACAGAAAAACACTCTATCAATCTGAAAGGTGTTTCATTAAACAGTTCCTGCTGCTGAAATTGATCCTGTTGCACTTGTTTGGCTAGTGCATCTGCACCCATCTCCTGCCCTGCTTCCAACGTTCCCCCACTGCACCTCATGTCCTGCTTCCAGCACTTACCATAGTCACGATACCACACATTTACAGTTCATGCAGCCGGGGCCGCTCTCGTCCGGGGGATTCAGCTTGCGCAGCTTGTGCTGCCGGATCTCCCGCACCAAGGTGTAGAAGGCATCCTCAACGCCCTGGGGAAAAAGCAGGGCTTGAAGCAGCTGCCCACTCTGACGAGGGACAGTGGAGAGAGGAGAGGGCTCTGCTCCCCAGCAAGGTGTCCCTAGCACTGTCCAGCAGTGAAGATTGCAGAGTTAAAGGTACAGAACCAAGCTGGGAAAACTGACAAGGACCTGAGTGTGGTCCTCAAACAGAGAGCAAAATTTAATGAGCAACCGTCAGGATAAGGATCTCTGAAGTCCCTGAGATTTATCAACTCTCAGCAGTCTGAATGAGGTCTACCACCCAAGAGAAAAGCCACCACTAGGCCACTGAAGGTGTCAGTTCCATTTCCACCTCTGTGCTCTGGGAGCTCCACTGGTCCTTTCAGCACTGGTATATTCTGCCAAAATAGACCATGGATGAGGTTAACCAAGTGACCTGAGCTTAGCTGACTTGCAGTGACTATGGAATTTATTCCAGAGCCTTGGAGAAAGCCCTGGGAAGGCATCTTCTCTTCACTGCTGCCACAGCATGATGATGCACTTCTCATGATGGGAGGCTCAAGCCTGGACTGGGAGGGAACATCCTGAGGGAGGGAGCATTTTGCCTTGAGGAAGCAACTAAGCCCAGCCCTCACACCCATCTGTCTGCAAGGTGGTGCCTGCCCATTCCTGTCCCTCCAGGGCAGCAGTGGAAGAAAGAAGAGAAAAAGAACCTTTTGTTTTAAAGTCTCCTCCTACCTGTCTGGTTTTGGCAGACGTTTCTATGTAGGGGATCCCGTAGCTGCGGGCCAGGTCCTGCGCTTGCCGGGTCTCCACTGTCCGCGCAGGGAGGTCACATTTATTCCCCACTAGCACCATGGGGACATCATCTGAGTCTTTCACCCTCTTGATCTGCTCCCTGCAAGAGGAGGAGGTGTGAAGAAGTGAAGGAGCAGATCCAGAACACTCCCTGCCACTTTCTTTGTTAGGATTTGACAGCTACCCTTTGCTCCTGTTGAATGCCTTGTGTTGAGCTTTCAGGAAAATGTAAATAACTATGGCACACAAGTGAGTAAATAGCAAAACAGTTAGGGCACTTCTGGAAATGAAAACGAAACATACTCCTGCTCTTTAAATGCAGCTATTTACAAAACAACTTGAATTATGACAATCTATATTAAGACATGAGCTTAAGATAGTTTAAGTTAAATAAAAATTAATTCTCAAGCAGTTACCTGTGCTATTTCCAACATTTTATATCAAGTAATCCCCCCAAAATGGGTGAAAAAATAAAAAATCACCTGCAACCAGAATTTGCTGAGCTGATAAAGCAGCTTTTGGCAGCTGTAACCTTTTCTGCAGATGCACAGGCAGTATTTGCTCCCTTTCAGTTTAGTTCAGGTCACTCAAAGTTGAGAAACCAACTGGGAAATAAAAAAGCTGTAATGCTCACTTCTTCATTCCAACATTGGATCTAAAACTAGGTGGGCAAGGATGAGATCTATCACTCCTAAAAATCTTGCAGGCCATTATGACCACAAAAAATCCATTCAATTCCCTTCTGATAGATAATAACTTCCTTTGCTTAATAAATCATTTAACTTCAGATGCAAAACAGCTTTTTTTATTTTTGCTCATGGGTCCAGAACATTTAATATGGTTTTAATTTAAAAAATAAAAGATTTAAAATGCCAATTTCTGCATTTTAATTGAATGCAACTCTCCATCCAAAGGCAGCTGGACATTCATGCACAAAAGAATCAATCATCTTTTTCTAATGTAGTAGAACATAGAAATGAAGTCTGACTATATGGCAGATATGCCATATAGTGCCATATGCCATGATATGCCATAAAGCCATTTAAATGTTCTGTGTAACATCCTGATCAGCAAATGCAAGTACTAAATTTAGTGCACAGGCTACACTTAGCTGTAAAGAGATACCTCCAAATGGTTACTAACCAGGGAGAGCGAGCATTTCTCTGGGGAATATTCTTTTAAAAGTACAAACACAAAGAGCACAGGCTAAAGGAGATGAAAGCTAGTGATTTACATCATGTTGGCTTGAAACCAAGCCATCCTGTGAGCAATTCACAGGCACCAGCCCCAGCACAAGGATGAATGCTGCTCAATCCCTCAGGTGCTTTAGGAAAATCCCATCCTTTGGTTCAGCTAAAAGAAGCGAAATTAGTGCACCTGTGCAGCTATTACACTGAACAGCCTTTTGGATGAGACTGAAACATCTCAGCAGCTCCAAGCAGCACCTCTAACTATGGAACAAGGAAGGGATGTGCCTGTCCTCGAAACAACAGGATTACTGGGACCCTGGTTTATGATGAGGGACTGGGGTACACAGTCCCTTGTGGGCAGTGACAGAGCAGGGACAGGCAGAGCCATCTCCTGCATCCTCTGCAAGTGCCTGCCATCACAGCCAAGGCTCAGAAAAAGGCGCAAGCAGAGTCCCTCCCTAAAGTAGCATCGGGGTAAACAGGGAAGATTCCTGCTGTGTTTACATCACCCCCTTGACTCTTCAGCTCTGCAGGGATGACATCAACAGAGAGAAGAATTGGGATGGGTACTGGGATGGTGTCCCTGCTTCGTCACCACTTCCCCATGCATCTGCTTGGGCAAATCACCTCACTGGAGCCCTGACTCCCCTTCTGCTCCATCTTTGCCCTGCTTGAAACCAAGCT